TCCTACAAATTTATCATATAAATGAATTGTGCAGGTTTTGTTTTACTCGATACTAGTGCAAATGCACTCAAAGCATGTGCCTTGTGGGATTACTTATTAGAGATATGGTTGATAATTTCAAAATTGGTTTTAATAAAAGTTTAATCGGTACTAGTATTTAAACAAAAAAGTAAGACTCCTCCGATCTTTAATATAAGACCTATTTAACTAATTTGATTAGATTAAGAAAGTTAGGTAAATTAGTTAATTATAAAAAATATGACATCTTTTTCTTAAAACACCATAATCATCTTTTTTAATATCCTCCCTCCTTTACTTACTTGATTATGGTTAAGGGAGTATTCATAAATCATAAGGTTAATTTAGAAAAAAAATTGATAAATATGAAAAATAGACCTTATATTTAAGATCAAAATTAACTTAATAATTAGATCCTATATTAAGGATCGGAGGAGTATAATTTTTCAAAATCAACTGCTGCAGCTGCGGAGGTCTAGTTCACAGGACATGATTCTTTCAATGAATGTTTAATAACTAATAGGCTAGCAAATGAATTTTCCGGATAATTAATTTAATCAAAATGTGAGTCTTTTAAATAAGTAATTTTTTTTTAAAAACTACGATTTCGTCGGGCTTTAGCCTTAGTCGCAACTCACGTGTATGTGGTACTGTGCCTCTATGTGATAATGTGAAGGTCCGCTTGAAATTATGCAAAAACATTTTTTTTTTTGGGAATGGATTACAATTTAATTATATGTTCAAACGTTGTCTCTTTATTATTGCGACTGGCTTTAGCATTGCGCAACTCTCGTTTTGCAACTTTCATCCTTATCATCCGCCGCCCATCGAAACTCGGGTAGTATGCCTCCATCTGACTAAATGTTTGGGTTCAACTGTGCAAATATCTGTTCTAATTTTTATTTGCCAATAAAATTTCTATCCGTGCCAAATGGTAATTTTTCTGTGTTCTGTCTTCTTCTATGCTTCGTCTTCATCAAATGCTGGGGTATAAACACAAAAGAAAGCGAGACGAGGCCTAAACTTGGTGGACGTACAGAGTTTAGGGAGCCTTTTTCAGCTTTTATTTAATTACAACTATAATGTTGATTATTCTTTTTTCATTTATTTGATTAAGCTTAGAATGCAAAAGGTTTTTGTCTCTCATGACAAGTGTGTTTCCTGGTATTCGAATTTGTATTTTTCTTTTTAAAGGGGACTTGTTGGTTTTTTTTTTTTTGGACTAAAGCATAGATATCTATTAAATGTGGGCATCCCTTCTAACGGATTTTTGGTTTCCCAGAATATCCTTCCACTCAAACGGTAAGAAAATAATCTCTCGGGGTATTGTCAGGCACCGTAACGGGGACCCCTCCTAACAGTAATTTTTCCATACACACTGCCCCTAAAATTGAACCGAGGATATGATATTTAAGATGTCAAAGTCTCTTTTACTTGGACTAGTACTTATTGGTCCATTTTGTAAAACACTTCTGAAACCATGGTTTGGTTTCTATCCAAACACCCCCTAATCCTATTGGTATGTTAATCATTCTTTTTCTCAAAATATTCGGCTGGGCATGTTGGCCCAATCTAAGGCCCTGTGTTCTTTTTTTTTTGGTCAAAAGAGATGGGCTCAGCCCAATTTCATTAAACTAAAGGCAGTTGGGGATCAATTCCCATACAATCAGAAAGCCACACATTCCGTAAATGACACGGACAAGCACTCAAAAAAGCAGAAGATGTAAGCCCTTCCTTAGCCAAGGCATCAGCAAGAGTATTCTCTTGTTGAGGAACATGATTAATACGTAACTCCCAATTGGATTCCATAAGGGATCTAATCTGTAAGAACATCAGGCTCCCATTAATTGGACCTTCCTTGTTGAGCAGCATATCGACTAGAACCTTGGAGTCTGACTCAAGGATGACTTTTTTGAAGCCAAACTCTGTCGCCATTTTGAGACCTTTAAACATGGCCCATTCCTCTGCTTCAAGCACATCACAAAAACCAAGAGACTGAGTAAAACCAGCAATCCACGCACCCCTAAAGTCTCTAATAACCCCCCCACAACCGGCCTTGCTCCCAGAATTAGAAACAGCTCCATCTACATTAATTTTAACCCAACTCTGAAGTGGTGGACTCCAAAGAGAAGGTCCTGAGACGGAGGGACTGTCAATATGAACCGCATAATCATTAGATGATGAAAAAGACTTCCAATTCCGAAGAATAAAGGCTGCTGGATTAAGGGGCTTGGTGAAGTCTTCTTTGAAGCAGTGATTGTTTCTCCATAACCATAGATGCCAAGCCGAAATAGCCCAAATAATATTCCAAGACACATTCAGATTCGAACCAAGCTCTCTATTTAAATTTAAAGCCATCCAGTCTTTCAGAGAAGCAGAAAAAAACTGGTTTACACACCTTGGATCTAAGAGGCTAGACCAAAGATATCTGGCATAGAAGCAGTCACGTAAAATATGTAGCTCATCTTCCACGTCTTCATTACAGTAGAGACAAATGGGTGAGGTAGAAGACCACTTACTCCTCCATAAATTTGTGGGCAGCTTATTATTGTAAGCCATCCACAAAAAAACTCTAACCTTTTCAACACCATTCCACTTCCAGATCTTCTTATAAACACTACTATAAGAGTTTGGAGGAGGGTTCTCAATCAAGTAATAAGCACTCTTTACAGTGAAGTTCCCATGAGGTGTTGGACCCCAAGTCATGATATCCTCTCCTGCAGTAGGTATTGGAGGCAGCATTGAAATAAGCCGTTGAATAACCTCTCCCTTAACCGTGTTAGCCATTCGAGAGAAGTCCCAAGTACCATTTGACACCCAATCTACAACTCTGCTGTTTTCTTCCTCTGGAGAAATTGTTCTTAAGCACATACCTCGAATTTTCCCTCCTTTGAAGAGCCAGGCATCATTGAAGAACTTGACAGATGCACCATTTCTAATTTGCCACCTAGTGCCTCTCTCGATTAGATCTTTTTGTTGACAAATAAACCTCCACAAAGAAGAGTCTTCTTTTTGAGAATTAAGGAGATCGCTATCAGATCTAATCATGTATTTCTGTTGAAGCACTTCAGCCCACAAACCTTCAACTCCAACAAGTAGATTCCAAGCCAGTTTGGCTCCAAAGGCCTGATTGATGGAGCTTAGCTTTTTAAAACCAAGTCCCCCGTTAAGTTTGGGCAAGACAATCTTCTCCCAACCCACCGGATGAAATCCATTGCTGTTAGTCACCTTCCCCCAAATAAAATTTCGCTGGAGTTTTTCAACCTCATCACATATTTTCTTCGGCAGCTTTGCTACTTGCATGGGATAAAGAGGAACAGTACTAAGTACAGATTTTGCCAAAGTGATCCTACCAGCCGTGGATAAGCTGTTGGCCTTCCATGTTGCAAGTTTATCTTTCACTCGGTCAACAATATATTGGAAAGTTTCTGTTGTTTTTCTCCTTCTTGAAAGTGGAAAGCCGAGATATTTGCCAATTTCATCAGTGACCTTCATCCCAGTTATAGTCTTAATTTTTCCTCTCAGACTAGCACTAACTTTGGGAGAGAAAAAAATTGAAGATTTCTGCTTGTTAATTTTTTCACCAGAAGCAGAACAGAATTTATCAAGACATTCCATCATAATTTCGGCTTGTTCCTCACTTGCTTCACCAAAGAGGAGTAAATCATCAGCAAACATCAAGTGTGATATCAGTGGACCATTTTTACAGACTTGAATAGGCTTCCATCTGTTGATCTTCACTGAATCACAAATTATATGAGACAATCGGTCCATACACATGACAAATAAAAAGGGGGAGATGGGGTCTCCTTGTCGGAGACCTCTTGTAGGAGTAAAAAATTCAGTTACAGATCCATTCCATAAAACATTCAGCGAGGAACTGGTTACACACTTCATGACAATATCAATGAATTTGCCATCCATGCCTGCATCACACAGTACTTGGTTTAAAAAACTCCAATCAAGTCTGTCATAAGCCTTTTGTAAATCAATTTTCAAGGCCATAAAACCACGCCTACCCCTAGCCTTCTTCATTATATGCAATATCTCTTGCCCCACAATTATATTGTCTTGTATGTGTCTCCCAGAGATAAACCCAGCTTGGTAAGGTGAGATAATTTCATTCATAATATTCTTCAATCGATGAGTAAGAATTTTAGTGATGCACTTGTAATGAACCGAGCATAAGGAAATCGGTCTAAAGTGCTCTACTCTTTGGGGGTGTTCTCTTTTAGGAATGAGGGAGATAAAAGTCTTATTAGCTTCATCCAAAGAAACAGTTCCTTCAAAAGCTCCTTTCACGAAACTACAAAAGCTTGGTCCCACAATATTCCAATTGGCTTGAAAGAATAATGGGGGAAAGCCATCCACACCAGGTGCCTTATAAGGTCCCATTGCAAAAAGGGCCCTACGAATTTCTTCAATGGAAGGCACAGACCCTAAGGATTCTAAAAGAGATTGTGAAAGCTTAGGAAAATTGCTATCAGACTTGAGCAAGATAGGGGAATTGGCGTCAGATTGGAACAGCTTTTTGAAAGAGGAAATGATCAACTCCTTAACTTCCTCCTCCCTTTCTACCCAGTTTCCAGAATCATCCTGTAATGCTAAGACTTTATTCCTTCGTCTTCTTATGTTCGTCCTTAGGTGATAATATCTAGTATTCCTATCACCTTTGGAGACCCAAGGCCCTGTGTTCTTAATTAGCTGGAGTCTCGATCTAAACTTTAGAGGTTTTTTGGGATGTGCTGTTGAACATCATTCTTATCCGTGTTTTGTCCCAAGACACGTCTGAGGCCCTATGTAGTCTTTGATGGATCAAAATTTTCTGGTTCTTTTCTAATTCAATCCAGTCCACATCTCAGTTCACGTCCAGATCTATTATTTTACCTTCTCTTAATCAAAAGCCCATTTTAAATCAACCCAGCCCACATATTTCTTCCTTTCCTTTTCAGCAAGCCCAAGCCGAATCCATCCTTTCCCGCTTCGACTTCTCTCCCCGACTCCCAACCCGTTCAGTCCACTGGTCATATGTCATCTGCCTTGTCCTCTCCTGTAGTATCTTCGCCGATCTCCTCTCCCTTTTCTCTTGCGTCACCTTCAACAAGCTCACCCGGAGTTTCATTTGGCCTATTCAATTGTTTCATACAAAAGAGATGGAGGAAACCGACTGTTTCTGCCCAGACTCGTTTGGAAGACAGGGTGAGAGACTCCAAGTTAGACAAACTCATGACCCACCTTAATAAACTCAAGATTATTCTCAAAATCCACCAACTGATGTCAAATCGTAAACGCGGTCCCTTTGTGTCCGTACAGTTGATGTCCCGATGGAGGAGCATCACCGGGCTTAATGTCAGCATGGGGTCATTTATTCATAAATATCCGCATATTTTTGAGGTTTTCCCACACCCTATCAGGAGGAATTTATGTTGCAGATTTACCCGCAAAATGAAAGCCTTGATAAAGGAGGAAGAGGTTGCTATGGAACAGCAGGAACTGGAGGCTGTGAGGAGGTTGAAGAAGCTGTTGATGATGTCCGTAAATGGAACTCTTCATATACATGCATTGAGATTAATTAGGAGAGAGTTGGGTTTGCCCCATGATTTCAGAGACTCCATGCTTGGGAAATACACTGGAGATTTCAGATTGGTCGATCTAGAGATTGTGGAATTAGTTGATAGAGACGAACATCTGGGAGTGGCTGAGATCGAGAGATGGAGGGAGAAAGAGTACAGAGAGAAATGGTTGAGTGAATTTGAGACCAAGTATGCATTTCCTATCAATCTCCCTACTGGGTTGCAAATCGAAAGAGGTTACAGAGACAAGATGAAGAATTGGCAAAGGCTTACATATACAAAGCCTTATGAGAGAAAAGAAGCCATTCGTGTTCGTACATGTGGAGGGTTTGAGCGCTATGAGAAGAGATCAGTTGCTGTTATTCACGAGCTGCTGAGCTTGACAGTGGAGAAGATGGTTGAGGTTGATCAATTAGCTCATTTCCGAAGGGATTTTGCTATTGAAGTAAATGTGCGTGAAGTACTGTTAAAGCACCCAGGCATATTCTACATATCTACTATAGGGAAAACTCAAACTGTGTTTCTTAGGGAGGCATATAGTAAAGGGTGTTTGATTGAGCCTAATCCCATATACAGTGCACGTAGGAAAATGTTGGATCTTGTATTGTTAAGAAGCAGGAAGACTAAACAATTGCTGGCTTGTGGGAGCAACAATGAAATCTGTGAAGTGAATGAAGATGATGAAAGACCGGGAGATTGGGTGGTTTCCTTATTGGAGAGTTGTGATCACCATCATATTGCGGGCGAGTTTACTGACGCATCTGAGTAAGACCAGAGATGGTTTGGAAGCCAAGGTGGGATCGTTGAAGGTTTTGTTACTTTATCAGCTATACGAGAAGGATTGATTACAGATCCGCTGTTAATGCCAAGCTCTTTTTTAAACTCTGGTCACAAGAAGCGATGGGGCAAATGAAGTTTACACAGATTGTTTTATGAATTCATTGCAGTAACCAATTTCAACCATCGACGCAGGTTTGGTACGCGGGGATATTTAGTTTTTCTTTTATTCCTTCGTTTTTTCACTACTGAAGTTACGCTTTGTGATTAAACTTGTAATGAAAATTTTTCCGCAGATTAAGATTCATACGTCAAAAATTCACATGTGATCACCACAAAAAATGTCCCATAACTACTAGAAGGAATAAGCAGTACAATACATGGGTAATTTGCATCTATTATGTTACTTTCACCTTCATATATGCTAATGAACGTCCCGGGAAACAAATATACGACCGGTCTTGCCAGCGGAGGCAGCAAGACTACGTTGAACAATGGATTGTCATTACTGTGTATCTGACTACGTTGTCGTACAAAACATCCAAAATAGACGCACTAAATCCAAGCCGAAAAAACAAAAGATACATCTATCCATTAATCACAGGAAATTAGCTGATGCGGTAAGGGTGCTAGAATCTCGATGGCGATTAGGCTGGAAAAAATAGAATTATTTATTTATTTTTCCTTCAAATGCCAGTCATGCATGTTTTCATCGTCAGCAAAAGTAATTTTCCTCAACAATGAACGGCTGAAATTAATAAGATGCCCTGGGGCTTAGGCATGGAAGATCCGGGGACCGACAAGACAAAAGGTACTAAAGTAGAAATTTTATATTTTCGATTGAATCATCCGTAGCTAAGGGCCTCGCATTTACAGATGTGCTCTCGAATACAGGGGGAAATCACCGACTAGAAGTCACAGCCAGACTCACCTATTCCCTATAATCCTTTTTTCCTTCTTACCATCAGCTGCTATATCTTCATTTTCTGTGTATTGCAATTCAACATACAATCTATCAAACAATTCACAAGATCTGCACCATAACATGAGAGAATTGGTCCCAATTTGCACAGAAGTCAGTCTTGAATCTGGTCAGATTCTGAGAGAATTTGTCCCTGTTCTTTGAATCCAGGCTCAGCGTCACATCTTTCATAAGCTTCTCAAAGCACGATGAAAGCCGCTCATGTTGATCCGGTCGCTGCATAATAATTCCCAAACATCAAGATCTGAAACCTTGAAATTACCGCTGCCTTACACGGCAGGTAGAACTTCTAACAAACTGACTGGGGACCGGGGGCCTATATACACTAAGAAGGGTTTATCTTCTTATCTGATTCTGATTCCTCCCAAACCCGCATTTTTATATCTGCCCCCGTACACACACACACATTTTCTATTCCTCAATTGATGATGACCAAGATGCTTTGCTGGCAAAAAAAAAAAAAATCAAGATGCTTTGACGGGCCAGTTAGTAACGGGGTGGGGGGTGTGAGCGAGCAAGAGGTCTGCTGGTCGGGTATATATTGGAATGAGATTTAGGGAGGGTTTAGGACAACTAGTGCGTGCACGAATGTGGAAAGTCCAGCACTCTTGAATGGCTAGAGTTGGTTTCTTTGCTGTTATTTTCCTTTTTAATTCCCTGGTTAGACTTCAGTCTACCATAGTATAGCTTAATTTGGTCACTCCTGAACCAACTATTGTAAAGAATTTGCATGATCAGTTAATACGATTAGGCCACCGGCTTTTTCACTCTCTCTGCTGTCCATCCAGTTAAAAATCTGCACTAAGATTGTGATTCCCTGCACCAACATTTATTTCTATCTGTTTCTACGTATCGAGAATCTAGATCTACGCCAACAACTAAAATCTTGGTCTCCTTAGTCATTCACTGTAAATAAGCAGCAAGTTCCTCCCTACTGTAACTTGTCAAAACAGCAAAGAGGCAACCGGTTGAATTCCCAATAACTTAAGACTTGAACTAAAGATAGTGATTTCTCATATTACTGTGGGGGGCCCTTTGGCCACAATAGGTAGCCGACTGTCTCGTTGCACCAGACAGACAATTTTCAGTTATCGATTATTATTATGCACGAGTCCAGTTTCAGTTAAAAGTATTAAATGGGATAGGCTATCAGTCAAATTAAAATCAAAAGATAATATGAATGTTCTACCCGCCCATAAAAAACTGATCCAGAACACCAATTAGGGAGTGACCATGAACCTGATAAATAGAAGGAATAATATATTCCGAGCAAGAAGGAGGTGCAGGTAGATAGCATTTTACTTACATATGAAGCCAAAATTTGAGCCTTGATATTTGTGAACATCTGCAGGCGAAATCGCTCGTCAATATGATAGCATACGCCCAGATATCAATGTTTAAAAGGTGAGGCCTCAAAGCCATCGTGAGGAGGGATAACAGATATGAAGAAAACTGAAAAGGCTATAGAAAATGACACTTGCCTACAGAGTTTCATTTTCCCGATATAATATATTCAAGATAATAACATTAATCCCAACTATAGAGCCAAAAGCACCACATTCAAATTTTACAAGCAATACAGATGAAAGGTTGTTGTTTTTTATCATTTAATTGAACCATATTTCAACTCCGTAATTTTGCCTAGAAGAATCCTCCACCTATAAGGCCTTGTCCATTTTCCCCAAGAAAATGCAACACTGGTTCTAACAGAAACTTAAGGGCATTGCACTTCTGTTTCACTGGATAAACTGAAATATTTATTGCCTTCTATGTGAATTAATTAAATTATTAAATCTTCCAAGCATGGGTAAGAAATCAGTTTCCCTTACCTTCTTTAAGAGGATATCTTATCATCCTTCATTGTATGTTTCTCTTTAGATATTTATGGCCATGGCATAGAAAGAATGTTTCCTAAGTTCGTTTAAAACTTACATCTCCATTGAAGCATCGTGTTACCATATCAAATGAACGCATTCGTTTCAGAGATCAACAACAATGTTAAAAAGTCACGACGAGAAATGCTCCAATTTGTGCTTTAGTTCCTAACTTTTGAATTACCAATGTTCAGAGACTGTGTTAGCAATTCATATTCTCAATAGCAATGGCTGCAATGCCATAGCAAGAATGTAAGCTCATGTTCATGAAACAAACTACGGCGTGAAATTTGAAGCCAATTACAATATGATATCACAATCATTTACCTCCTCACTAATAAGTATTAAGCTCAGCATTGCTCTGCTAAGACTCCACTGATTGCCACGGTCTTCCAACAAAACAATCTCAAATAGGGTTTTCAACATCTAAGAGAAAAGAAAATTCCAAGGAAAATTAGAACCCGCGAAGTAAGAAGAAAAAGTTTAAATGGACTCCATCAAATAAGCAAGAACATGGGTATGAATGCAATCATCTAACTTTTGGGCCTCTAACTTACTGAGTAGGCCCAAAAAAACATTTTGTTAATGAGGTTGCTGAAAAAATGGAATTTATACTTGGCTCTGAGATCTATTTGCATCTATAATAATAACTACTGACAGTAAAAGAGAAGGGGCCAAAAGAACCTAGAAACCGAAGGACTTTTTTTTTTTTTTTGGGGGCCTCAAGGGGACTTGTAACTGAAGCATGAGTTATCATTGTCAAGATTGATTTTATAGTTATTCTTTCATGGTTCAGGGAAAATATAGTCGTCAAATTATTATAGCTCCCTTCCAGACTTCATATTCACATTGCTGCAGATATTCGGGGAAGGGAAAAAAAGATGGGTTATCAGCAAAAGATGCTCGCAACCAATATTATTTACATAGTAAAAACTTGATAAAAATAATACTTCCTCTGGTCCGAAATGTAAGACCCATTTTGTAATGTAAATTACTGTACCCATTATGTTCCCTCACAAACAATCATTTCATTGATAAAAATAATACTTAATACATTGCTGTACCCAGTTACTGTTTGATTTATTCAAAAACAATATGCTGTTATGGAATATGGATGAAGAAAATGTACTTATGTATAAACCTAAATAATTTCCATACATATCTGTGGCCATTTTTTCATTCACATCATATAGCTGTCAAGTTGGCTTGCCCTACTTTTCACAGTGCAAACCAAAATTGAACAATGTATCTTGGCAGCAGCCCAGGATAAACTTACACCAGAGAATAACACAGAGCAATCAGAGATTAGTTGAGCAACATTCAGTGCAGCAGGTGACGCAATTGACTCTGCGACTGTAACATGTGTGAAATAAAATGTAGCCAAGTGGTCGATAGCAGAGGCACACTGCAAACAGAGAAGACAATTGCAGAACAAAGTACACAAGTCAGATCACATCCTAACTTAGCCATGGTTGTTTCGCAACAAGCACATGATGATGGATATTCCATTCATGGATCAAAGACTTTCTTCTAATAATTTAACAAAGGTCAGAGCTTGTGATTCCCACACACGCCCGGGGGATTGGAGGGGCCCAAAAAAAATGTGAGAGCTGAACTGTACAAATTACAAAGGAAAAAATGGTGCTTCTACCAACCTGTGATGATATAATCTCGCTTAAATCTTTAAGGCCTGATTCAAGAGACCCAATGATATACATAAATGTGGTTTTATCCAAACTCAAAACAAATGACAAATGACTGCTGAAGAGGGTTTCCAAGAATGCAAAGTAAGCAGCTGTGAGCTGGGAAAAAAGAGACAGTAAAAGATTAACTTAAAAACACTTATTCCAAATAACTATGAATGACTGTCAGGATGCTACTATATCTCGTGAAAAGTGCACTAAAGAGATATATACAGATTTTTTTTTTTTGGGGACCTTGATATATACATAGATTCACACATATACATATTATTGGTGATTGATTTGTTATTCGTGATGTTATCTGTTGTGATGTTATGATCGGGTATCATTTGATATCTTATAATTTAAACCACCGATGTAACTGATAGACCCTGAGATTAGAGTCAAATTGTAGTTGAATAAAGAGATATATATATACATATTTAGAACTTTGTAAATAAAAGATCTCTAATATAACAAATCAAAAAATTAAATATCATTTTTTAAGTATAAAATGGGAGCTGACTGGGTCCTTCCTAATGGAAAGTTTGAGAAAATTTGAACACTTGCAGCTTGCTGGTGCGATACATATTAAGCTGCAACATCACAAGTTTGAGTAGGGAAAAGACATACATAGGAAAACAAAAGCATAAGGGGCAATTGCCACCTCAGGTAGGGAATTTTTGTAAAAATATATACACGTGCATATGCATAAATATATGTATGTATGAAAAATAAAGGGAAGATTAAATTTTGTTATGATTTGTTATATTAGATCTTTATGCATAGGTTCGCTCAAGTAGCGACGATGGGATCAGGTACAGATACTAGTAAGGGTTCAAACCCTCCCAATGCAATAGAAAGGGGGGGGGGGGGAAGTTAGACAAACTCTTTCACAATCACTTGATTAGACAAACCCTTTCCAAATCAATGACAAGGCAAATTATGAACAATCCATACGAAGAACACTTAGAAATGATTTACTAAATTTCAAAACACCAATGAGGCAAAGCATACCTCAAGCTATGAGTAATACTGATATAGCTGCTGGTATTAAGAGAACATATAAGAGGACATTAAGGAAGCAAGCAGGGGTGGAAGAAGAGATATCCACTGGTCAAGGAAATAATCCAGAAGCTTCAGAAAATAAGGACCAACTCTAACTTGCAGCTAGCTACTAGTCTTTTGAGTCTGAAACCTTGTAGGGGGCATAGGACTACTTTTTGGGAAGCATATTGCTTTGTCTTGGGGCTGTAATGTTTTCAGGACTTATCTAAGAAGAGAGTTGGTGAGAGAGAGAATGCCATGGGAGTGTCACTGTGTAGCTGTGTCTAGTCTGTTTATCAGTGTGATCTGGTGCTGTCTTAGTTGTTGCTGTGTTTTTCTTTTGTTTAGAGGGAAATAGGGCTTTGGCTTGAATCATTGAAGCCTGTTGTATCTTTGATTCAGTTCTTGCTTATTAATATCAAAGCCTCAGGATTTTCCCCATTTATTGCTGCTATTGTTACATTTTGGCCGGTTCATTGATTACTGTAGCAGGGTCTCAAATACCTTTCGAAATGCAAATACATCAGCCAAAGGAATAGATAATATCATCTTTACAATGATATCTAGAGCATCCACTAATGCTCTATCACCATACAGCTCAAAAACACCAAAGTTGACATAATTCCCAGATAGCGCTGGCATGCCAGAAAAAAGAAGAAAGTTTAGCCCAGAGTTGATGTGAGAATACAATATCATAAACAATGATGACTAAATTGCCTTGTTCTTTGAAAATAGAAATATCGTGAAGAAATCTGCAGAATGAGAATCAACACTTTTAAAACCTAATCATGCAATACATAAAACATACTGAAAAGTACCAGCAACTTATAAGATTTCATGCATCAGAAGACATATTTAAATTTCATGTTGCAGAGAAAAGAATGTAAGGATCTACTTTACCGACCTCTTTTTACCACATTCTTAACCTCAACAACAACAATAAGAGCAACAAAACCTATCCTGCTAAGTGAGGTTAGTTACATGGATTACATGACATCATTGTGCTTTATCATCAACTAACTCTTCAAATATGAAAGAAAATAAAATTGAAAGAGGAAAACAATATACACTTGAATAATATGAAAATATTGGTAGAAGTATAACCATACCTCTTGTGAGAATCGACAAACAAATTGACATCCCCTTGTATTTAAATGTGTATATATCTGCTCTACTATGAAGAGGTAAAATTCTTGACCCATAGGCTACAATCAGTTTACTGACTTCACGGAAAAGCAGTATACCATTAGCAGAAGAAGAATCAAAGATCAATCGCTGGGATTTGTTCAGGACCAATTCATCCACAAGTTTCAACAATGGAGTTGTTACCTGCATTGGCATCCCAGTATCATATAATTTATTCTTGAATCACATGTAAAATTTTATACAAGCCTACCCCAACAATGTGTTAATTTGAAAATCACTATAATATTTCCAAAATTTGTTCATGTTAAATTTTGTGTATTCATAGAAGAGTTTTAGTTCGTATTTTGCTTTCTTACATTAACACTCAGCCAAATATTTAATTAATGTTGGCTGCAGCCACATTAAATTTCAACTCAAAGGAGCTGGCCATTCTCATATATGCTGACTTCATAAACGCTTTGCATAATGAACATGGTTCCCCAAGCCTTTAATGCAATGGTACATATACTGGGTTCTCTGAAATATCATTACTTTTATTTTCATTCTTATTGTTCTTTCTATCTTGTTAACTTAAGTCTTCCATAGCGCACCTTCCAATAAATGAGGAGGAATTTCATCCCCTCTTCTTCCCCTCAAGACCCAGAATAGAATCATCAGAGGAAGAATTTCATCTGGGATCCACCAGCATATCATATACAAAGAAAAATAAATAGACCAAGAATGACTTCATGTGCTATTCAAATGGTATTCAATGTTCATTTCATTAGCAGAGAAATTGCAGGGGGGGGGGGAAAAATGAAGAGTGTGCCTCAATCCTTAATCCGTGTAAACAACATTCAGTTCACTCAATACTTTACACTGAAAAGGATGAATCTTACCTCTGGAGAATCAGCCCAATGCACAATGCCTTTCAAAAGAATAGGCATGCGTGCTGGATAGAGCCAATCAAAAAGGAACCCATATGTCCTACGACTGCAACAGCCAATTCAAATACAGGCAGAATATAAATATATGCAACTAGAGGGGAAAATAATTAAAAAATATATATATAGTAAAGCAGCAAAATCTTCACCAAATAAAACATAGTTTCACGTCTTAAAAGATTGCCAACCTGTTAGTTGCCATTGCTATTCCCCGAAGGTCTCGCATTAATCCAATCAATGCAAATTTTCCGGCATCTGATCGGAAAATTGCATCAGGTGCAGATTCCAACTTAAGAAAAACCTTATACATAATAAATAGAAATTAGAATGAAATTTAACCAAATAGAAGAATGAGTATTAAAATGTCAACAATATCTGACAAATTGCACGTTTTGCCATCATACTTCATATTCTGAAAACAGTTACACACCTTTATCACTTGTCACACAGGGTCATCTAGTAATATTTTATCACCAATTAACAAACGATGGATAGAAGAAAAGTTCGATTTCAAATAGAGGACTTAAAAAGTACATGAATGATATAGTCCCACAAACACCAACAATCCTTTATCACAGACGATCTTGTGATTTTTTTTTTCTCGTTTGGCTAAAGACGATGTTGTGATTTATTTGAACTTGTATTGTATTTGAAACTTCTCCCTGGTCTATTGAAGTCAGTAGTGTTTTCAGATTCTGGAATTATCATGTTCAGTAGAATTTCTCTCTATTTCTCTTCTTAAACCCACATCCTATCAGTGAAACCAGTTAGCAGTCGTTGACAGAGGGCATAGGAATATTTGTCTTTTTTTTCTTCTGAACCATTCCAAGAATTATAGTTAGGCTTATAATAATCGGAATGAATGAGCACCTTCTCAGAATATTTAACCATATGGCCCAGCAAGTCTTGACGGGATTATTTTGGGCAAATGAACCTGAATCTTTTACATATGAGAAAATATCATAAATCTAGTTCTTTTTATTTGGGAGGAGGGTGTGAGGGAAGCTCAACTTCCAACTAAAAGAACAGGCCAATATCAAATTTGATCTACCATATCAGATTCAGAAATCAAACGAACGTGTAGAAGAATCACTTAAGTCGACACGAAAACAAGCAATTGCTATAACTTGAATCATGATGACAAACAAAAAACAACCAACCTGCAGAAGATGTTCCATTGAAGACCTAAATTTCAGAGGGCTATCCTCCATGAAAACTAACATGCCAACTGTGTAGTAAAACATTGTTCTGCTACGGAAACATTCAACGTTTTCTAAAAACATGAATTGCTCCCCCTGCAAAGGAAACATGAACTGTGTTTGGTTGAACTGAATTTGAATGCAAATTATATATATATATATATATATATATGTATGTATGTATGTATGTATATGTATATAAGAAATCAATTTCTCTCAGATCAATTACAATCCTAGGACATTCCATTGGGCCCATGAACTTCCAAATTACGGCATGGTTTATTCAAAACTTCAAAATCTCTTTGCAATTTTACTGCCACAAACCGTATCACTTTTCCAGGATCCAAACCAAGGGGAAGATATTTACTTTTAAAGATATTTCCCTTTCAGATATACAGAAGGATATTAATGCTTTTATATTTTCGTGTTTCATTTTTCAACCTACCTCAGAAGGATCTTCAGCTCCCATTTACTTACACCAGTTCAGTCTATTCAACCAAATTTCATCTTAAACAAGTAAAACGATATACAAATGCCCTGCATTTTTGTAGGTGCCAAATAACATCATTTTCATTCTCCTCTGGAATTAATTTCTCTCTCTTTTCTGTAGAAGTGAAAGTTTAATTATAACTTCAGCCAAGCAATTACAGCATATGCTTGGGCACATAAAAGTGCTGGTTCTCCTTCATCATTGAAATTTAATGTTAACCCTTCTGTTGATCACGTCATGTGAAAACCATCCTCCATTCTGCAATGTCGAACAGAGAGATTCCCTAAGACCGAGTTTAATCCAAGTTTAGATATTGACAGTTTAAAGCGTTGATGAAGAATGGTTGCCACAAGTTAGGGGAAGAAAAATTGATGAAGTTGACATAGAATGTCCCTTAACCAATTCAGCAAAGTTGGGGTGATGATGGGTGGGCAAATATTTAGAACATCCACGCACCAACTTTAAGGTCATATCCTTATTAACAATTCGTCCTAGCAAGTGTAACTAGATAGGAAATGGACCAGCAAGAATTGGCTAACACAGAGATGGATAGCCGATGGCCTACTGCTACTAACTTGGGCTGGTCCATGGAGTTGGGCATCTCCAACTTGCTAGAGTAGTAGCTACACAGTTCTATACCAAAAGAGCTTCTCAAAATAAATGGAGTAGATTATACTTACATTCTGGTTTGAAATTAAGCGTTGAACTGTATCCAACTTAAGAAGCAGCTTTCCTGTCATGAATCTAGAAAGGATACAAAAGAGTATGAAGTGATATAAACCAGGAGAGTAACACAACACTAAATGGAAATGGCGATGGGACAGGACTAACCCCGAGGTCATTTCTGAAAAGAGGCTTAAAGTGTGATCAACAACCTCTTTGCACTGGGAAAGAGATTCTAATGTTAATGAAATGAATTATATTTGAAATGCAAAGAAATATAAAAATATATAATCCATCACCTCTTTGTAAGACTTGAGATTAGTAGCAATCTTTCCCACAATAACATTGAGTAGTAGCAGATGATCATGGAGTCCAAGAAGTTCAGATAATCGGGCATATAACTGCTATAGAGTCCAAAGCAGGAAATGGCAATAATTAAACCTTCTTTAAATCATAACAAATTTAAAAAGTAGAATACATCTACCCCACTACCTTGGAAGGAAGAACAGCATGGTCACCAATATAACACTTTCTAAGATGTTGCAAGAAGGTTAGTATAGCTCGATCAAGTCTTTGCTTGCTAATATCTCCCATACCTCTGAAAATATCCAACAGAACCATGGATGCAGTGATGTGAAAAATAATGAACAGAACTGAACTTTAGCCACTGGTCAAAGGGGGGGGGGGGGGACAAAGAGCCTTAGCATGTTCAATGAGCAAGGATGACTCAATAAATCTGTACATGTTTCCGCTATTTATAATTGATATTACAAGCAATAAAAAAAATAAAAAAGAGAGGAATCTCAAAAAATAAGTTCTTCTGAGCAGGTGATTGGATACAAATCAAAACAAATCGTCAAGGAAATAAAATCCACACAGGCGTTCTACAAGTAATTAAAATGTGAAAACCCTTTATCACAAGGCAGACTAAGTTGCTTGCCCAATTTTGCAGACAAAATGCAAAAAATATTCACATACCCTACTGTGTAACCCACTGTCAGTGATATTAATCAACTGCAGAACCCGTGCTGAAATCTCTGCATCAAGTATCTCATGTGATTCTCCACTGCAATTCGGAAACACAGAAAAAGAGCTATTACTGTCCAGAAAAGCCTACTCACAATCCAATTTGTTTTAACAAGTTACCTAAAACCAGAAATTTGTTTAATCTTCAGAATTGCAGCAACAATGTGAGTGAACCAAGTAAGTTTGCCTTCTGTTACAGAAATTTCATAGCTGCCTACAGAGATTTGGGCATTAGCTTCATTCTGCATAATTTAAATCAAGATATAAACAGTCAGATTGTTGTTAAGAGAATTACACATAAAATGGACACGTCCTAAAGAAGTGCTAGAGAATACCATATAGTTATCAATAATAGGTTCCACAATCTTCATCAAATATGAACTGCAACTTTCATACTGAAAAGTCAAGAGAACATAATTAATAGAAAAGAAATAAATGCATACATGACATTTAAATTTTAAGCGTGCATGCTTGAACTTCAAGTTCTCTATAAAATAATATCATTAAAATTTCCCACAATATGACTTGGGTAGGAGAATGAGAAGTGTGAACCTGATATCTGCAGAGGTAAGGAAAGAACTCGAGCTGATCCTGAAGCACCTCCACATTGTCCAGAGGATTTTCACCAAGCTCATCCGACTGTTCAGACTGCAGTACAAGGATATAAAGGGTATGTGTAAAAAATTCACTAACGTTAAGCATGATTGCAACTAGAATTGACTCCACCTGACCTGCAATGAATCAAATCTTGAAGTAACAAAACCTTCTATGATTTTAGGCACATATTCATCCAGCAGGATGGGTTTATCACTCTTCAGATACTTCACTGATGTTACGGACCTAGACCACAAACCTAGAAGGTAGTAAACACTGCTGCCAGCCCACTGAAATAAGAAACATCATCACACAAAAGAAAAAAAACGAAGCATTAAAAAAAAAAAACATTAGCTTCAAGAATATCTAATTTCCAATCATGTATGAAATACAGATTCCTGACAGAACAAATCAAGTAGTCTACCTTCCAAGAATGTAAAGATTTCAATGTGAATTCTGCCACTAATCGTATCCAATCACTGTAGCCTTCAGCATTCACAACTTCTGATAACTGTAATAGCATTCCACTTAGAAGAACCACTCCGAAGATTGCCTCCATTCATAAATAAAATAACCCAACTATGCCTATGACTTAAGTGAATTGTGAAGCATATAGTGAACCAAATCTACAGCAACAAAGACGACATGAAGTAGTTTAAAACAAAACAGATTGTCATCAATCCACAGGACCTGTTATAATGTTATATTTCCAAATTGATGTGACACGAAAGTGGTGGGTTGGCCACCAAATGTGACAATCCAAGATTTTATCAATTTCATTAATGATACTAGTAAGATCAAGCATGTCTCATGAACTTCATGAAATTAACAACATA